AGAGTACGACTAGCCATACCTGCAACTTTTGGTTGCCTATTTAAGTAGTCTGCCCGAGGTTCCACACTAGCTGCCATTTAACTACTCATTTATATAAATATTTTATTTTAATTTCTTCTAATAAGTGAATTTTATAATTTTGTAATCTCAAAATTAGAGTCTTAGCATAATTTAGAGTTCTGTTTGACTATAATTAATTGGTACAACTCACTCTTATTAGTGAAGTTTTTGGGCTAAGAAAAAAATCTTCACTATAGTTTATATTAAGTAAGTACTGTATATATTTTACTATATTGAGTTAAATTTAATAATTTCAGAATTTAAAAGTCTTTACTTTATCAAATCATTATTATAATAAAAGTTCATTATAGCAAGAGTGGTTATATAAACTAAAAGAATATCAATATTTGATTTAAGTTTTGTTACAAAAAGTTTTTAAACTAAAAAAAAAATATAATAAATAAAGTGAAAAAAATATAAAATTACTATAGAAATTCTTAGAATATGACAAGATAACTAATAAAAAAGCCTATATCAATCATTAGCTATATATAAAACAAACAAAATAATATATGCCAATATTTAAATTTATTGTAACAAAATACAAAACTTAAAAAAGTATAATAAATAAATCAAAAATAATTTGACAATGAATAGATAAAACCTAAGATGATATTATCAAATATTAGTTAAATAAAAAAAAATAAAATAAAATAATAAAATTAAAAAAAATTAAAATTTAATAAAAAATTATTTTGTAATAAAAAAAATATATATATATGTTATAATTACAATAAAATTAAATTTTATTTAAAATTTATTTAATTTCAAAATTTAATCAATTTAATTTTTTATATTTAATTAAATTGTAATATAATTGGGTTTAAGGAGGTCTCTAATGTAGTGATATAAGCTTTCACCCTTCCAACGTCTCCTGATTCTTCAACACGCCAATACCTGTCACATATTCTTTTCATTAGTTCAACCACAGAAACTCTTCGATTTTTGGCTCCTTTTTGTTGCTCTGTCTGCACATATTCTACAAATGACTCTGACTTTCATATACCTCGAATCCACTTTCTTCAAACATTTCCTGAAATCTTTTCCATACTTCAGCAGTTAGCAACTTATTACCGTATATATTCTTATGAAAAATATGTTTGTATAGCAATAAATATCGATTATAAAAAAGGCAGTAACAATCGAGCGAAGTTAAACCCAGCATTCCTTTTCTTTTTTCAAGTCTATTAATTACACTACAAGCCTCTCTAATAAGTAAGTTTTGGAATGGAAGAAGAAACTTATAAATTTCTTTCATAATATTATTATCAACTCCATAGGCAGATGCTTTTTTAATATGAAAGTTAAAAGTGGCACTTTCCACTTCGAATCTTTTTTTACAATCAATATTAACGATACCATGAACAGTACCTAAAATAAAATAAAAAAATTATAGGTAAATAGATAAAAAAAATCAAACACTAATAAAAAAAACACTATATATACTGATTAAACTATGTAACGACGACATTATTTTCTTCAATTCACTATGAAAAGACTCCAAAGGATTCGTAGATGTAACTTGTAAAAGCAAGGAAGAGTGTTGACGAGCATACAAACCCCATTGCTGTATATTATTCATATAGTTCCTTTTAATATAATTTTTTATAGCTGGCACAGAGCAACGACTAATAGCATCCTGAACAAAGTTTTCATAGTCAACCTTTGTTCGTTTGTGCATTGCCATGATCATGATGTTACAAATTTCTTTTTCATATATTCATTGCATCCACGTTCTCATAACATGAATGATACAAAAAATAATTTGGCATTCTTGCTCACTGGCAGTTATACCAGGAAAAGTTTTTTAATACTTTTGGCCTCAATGCTGCTCTGATCCAAAAGTATATAACAGGGAGACCAACGATAGCACTTCTTACGAACTATCAATAGTGCTTTAGCAACCATGTCACTATCTTCACTACTCACAAAAAAGTGAGCCCCTACATTCCAGCAACTATAAGTATCACGAATATAAAGCGTAAACAGATGCTAGTCGTACCAATTGGTCTTGTGAGTTAAGTCAATTAATGTCAACTACCTATGTCTTTCAAGTTTTTTTAGTTGATACAGATACACAAACACAATACCCTTAGTAGACCATTAAGAAACAGAATATTTTTCAACAAGATAACCTTTTTCTATCAAATAAGATATGGATTTTGATATATCTAACTTTAAATTTGAATTTCCAATAAGGTGAGCTTCTATCGGCCCATAAACTTTGTATTTAATGTTCATTACTTCTTTGCGTGTCAGCTCATATACACTCGAACCAAGGCCTAATTTATTTGCTGTATATTCTTTAACTGCTAATGTGATTGCAGAAAAAGGATAGTTTTTGACTACTTCATTTTTAACTAAATCTCGTATAACTTTTGACCTCTTTATCCTATTGCTCTCTGATAAAGAATGCATGTGGTTGGGAGAGTTATTATATCATTTAATCTGGACTATATTTGAAGCAACTAACCAAGAAACTTCAATTTTTGCATAACACAAGCCAGATGGTCGTGTCTTCGTCACTCTATATTTTTTATTTGGAATATTTTTTTTCTCTTGGGAACTTGATTCACGATGCTTAGTAAAGCAGCAGGTAAAAACCTTTCGAATATCACTGTTTACTTGTTTGTAAGAACCCCATTGTGTTCAAATATTAGAGACTACTGGCCACCAGTTGTCATTAAAGTCTTCACTTTGTATTTCCAAAAGACCATTTACATCAAAAAAAATAATTGCGTTTTTTATCTAGTGTGAGCGATGTTGACGTTAAAACCAAAAGAGCGATGGCACAAGGCGTGGCCGTGGTGATAAATATAGCACCAGAAAGAGCTGCAGACGCAGTATCTAAAGAGACAAAAGACGTGACACCCAAGGGAGCAGAAGGCGCAACACCAGAAGGAGTAGCTAACATGATGCCCAAAGAAGAAGCAGACATAACCGAAAGATAAAATTTATGTAAGTTTTTTTTTTTTTGTTTTTTTCTGTTCCCTTTTTTCTCCTTGTAAGTTTCTTAGTACACCAATAAAAAAAGTGAATATTAATACTATTAAACATTATAAAAAGCAAAAACTAGGAATAAAATTTCACATACAAAGTTTGTAGACCTCCAAAGTTATATTATTTACAAAACCCAGTAAATTATATAGAAAAACAATCTAAGCTACAGTATTTAGTGATTAAAAAGAAAAAAAAAAGGTTTCAAAAAAAAATAAAAATAAAAAATAAAAGTCGGGTCACCAAAACTGGTTCAAATATTAACTTATTAGTTTATTACAAGGAAAGAAAAAAAAACCTACAATAAAAACAAAAAAAAAAAACACTTATAAATATTTCATTATATATAAAAAAAAAAAGAAAAATCGTGCCTTATACAAAGATCAAAAAAATTTTTTTACGATAATAAATCAAATGTGTAATAATGCAACGATGACATCTTAAGCCTAGTATTACCTTTAGCCAATTATAATTTTTGCAATAATTAGCCAATCACAGTTATAGCATATGTCACGTGATTTATCTCCACTTTAAATATTCCCTTAAATTAGATACCCAAAGTATATATATAGTTAGGTATATTCTCGTTGTAATTATAATCTGAAGTTAATAATCTAATAAAAAGTTTCTAGCTGTAGAGGTCATCTTAACACCCTCCCAAAAAAAAAAAATTAAAATATAAATTTTAGCATTATTTTTAATACTATATACTGTATATGGGGATAAGTCAATAGAAAAGAAACAAATCATTTTTAGTAATTTTTTTTAATTTTTAAATTAAAATATCTCAACAACTATTTAATCAAAATTGTTAAAAA